AAACTTGGATCTTAATGGGTTAATAAATTAGAACTCCTAACTTCCAGGGTTTGCACACAATGAAAACTTTGCAGTGGATGTGGGGAGCTGGACCACGTGGCCCTGGCCAGTCTCTCTAGATTCACCTTCTCTGCCAAGGAGGGAATCTTATATGGGGGAGAGAGAGGTACAAATTTAAATTATCAGTCCAAATACTGGAAACAAATCCTTCCCTTTTTCCTTCATGCATGGTTGAGACAAGTCAAGAACATTTTTTAAAGACTAGGAAGGGGCTCCAAACAGGAAATCCATAGAACCAGGAAACCTGTGTTCTGAATGTAGCTTGCTTCCTGTGGTGCCCTAAGAGGAAGGGCCAGGGGGCCAGTGCTGTGGCATGTCAGGTTGAGCCACCATCTGCAGTGCTGGTGTCTGGTATGGGTGCTGGTTCAGTTCCTGGCTGCTGGGACTTCACATTCACCTCCCTGCTATTGCACCTTGGAAAGCAGCAGAAAATGACGCAAGTGCTTGGGCCCCTGCACCTACTTGAGAGACCTGGAAGAAGTACTTGGTTCCTGGCTGCAGTCTGGCCCAGCCCCTGCCATTGTGGCCATTTGGAGAGTGAATTAGTGGATGGAGGATCTTTTTCTCTATCTTTCTCCCTCTCTAATTCTGCCTTTCAAATAAATAAATGAATCTTAAAAAAAAAAGGGGGGGGGGGATCCTGCCTGTGTTCTTGAAGTCTACCCCTTCGCATGGATATACCACTTTAACCTCCAGAGTCCAGTCAGCTAGCATCTCAAACGCCAAACAAGAAATTGTGCTTCCGGGCCAGCGCCGCGGCTCACTAGGCTAATCCTCCGCCTAGCGGCGCCGGCACACCGGGTTCTAGTCCCGGTCAGGGCGCCGGATTCTGTCCCGGTTGCCCCTCTTCCAGGCCAGCTCTCTGCTGTGGCCAGGGAGTGCAGTGGAGGATGGCCCAAGTGCTTGGGCCCTGCACCCCATGGGAGACCAGGAGAAGCGCCTGGCTCCTGGCTCCTGCCATCGGATCAGCGCTGTGCGTCGGCCGCAGCGCGCCGACTGCGGCGGCCATTGGAGGGTGAACCAACGGCAAAGGAAGACCTTTCTCTCTGTCTCTCTCTCTCACTGTCCACTCTGCCTGTCAAAAAAAAAAAAAAAAAGAAATTGTGCTTCCAACAGTCTACTCTGAATTTCTGTCTAATGAGATCCAAGTATGGCATTATATTTGTAAAATACTTATCTCACTTTAATATCCTATGCAGTTTGTATTATTGACCTTGTTTTATAGAGGAGGGAACTAAGGTTCAAAATTTTTACACCGTTTTTTTTTTTCCCTAAGTGGTATTCTTAATTCATAGAAGGAGCTGGTCTACAAGGCTGGTTCTGCTGGATTCTGAAGCCAGAATTGCTCCAGAGGTCTATAGTGCTTTTCAGATGAGTGTGTTCTCCTTGGAGGGAGTAGGCTTCATTTTGCTAGAGAAGGCAGAACCTCTTCCACCATAGTCTTACAGCTCCCAGGAACTTCTGTTCTGAAGCATCCTGTTGTGCACCGTGCTTGGGGTCCGGTGTCTGTTAGCCACTTGAAGACAGCCAACATGGGAAGGGAGGCGCTGTCTGGAAACATCCTCATCAGAGATGGCCAGTCTGTTGCAGCCTTCCTCAGCGCTATTTAAGTTTCAGTCATCTTCCAGCTGTCTGAGCAGCTGCCAAGGACCTCAGAGAACAAGGGACAGTGGTTCTGTGTTCAGCAGTGCTCCTCTCTGTGTGCTGATGAAGTCATTGGCTGCCTCTATCTGGTTCTCGGGTTAAGTCAGAGTCTGGGCGTTAGAGAGATGATGCTCAAAAGAAAAAAAAAAAAAAAGCTTTACCTGTCTCCTGAATCAGAGAAAATGTATATCTACCTCTCCTGTTTCTGTGTTACGACACCAAACCAAGTTTTGTTTTGTTTTTTGAAGAAAGTGGAAAGAGAGATAGGACTCTCTCCCATCTCTGTCCCTTGGATTTTCATTTACCTAGGCGGTATTGACTTCTGTCCTCCCTTTGGGATGCCCCCATTGTGAGCCACATGGAAATGTGCTCAGGTGCCTGGACCGCTCCCTCCTTCTTCCTGCTCATCTGTTATAGGACCCTCCTGCCCTGAGCTACGCAGGGCCTCTGAATTCTTCACACACCATTGCAGGTCACTGAAGGCCAGCCACCAGCTGAAGCCTTTTGCCACCCCTGATCTAGATCTTCAGTCCAGGGAATAGTCCAGGCATTTACAACTTCTTGCTTGAGAAGAAGGAACATGGTTTGTTTCTTTTGATATTACTAATTTTTTCAGATGTGTAATTGAGTAAGGACTTATGCCAGTTTTGTAAATTATGCTATAATTTTTAGAGACTTAGAAAGCATTGTAGAACTAGAATAATTAAACTTGTTATGAGCATTACAAATAACAGGCTAATCAAGAAGTGTGATGTACAGTGGTGAATTGCTAATTTGACCTCAGGATTATGCAGCAGAGATAACATTATCTTCATTTATATGGTACTGTTTATCTGGAGGCATCTCGGTGCTTTTCCAGTCATATATATTATTTGGTTTGTTATCACAAACACTATCATTAAGGCTGTAAAATGTATTCCAGTACAACTTTCTATTTTCAGTTGCTTATAACTGTGGGGTGAAGGAGAGGAAGGTTGCATATTTTCTTCCATTGCTGACATTTGCACCAGATAAAATTTATGAAATGACTATTATCTGAGCTTGGAGGAGAGAGAATAGTACAGCATTGCCTTTGGTCAGCCTAGACTGTACTAACCTTAGGAAATGACAATAGGGAAAGGCTGTCTTTGTCGCTTCCTGGCTCTTCTACAGTACACAGTTGAAGAGTCTCCTAAAGACTTGACCTAGGGAATAGGAAAGTGATCTGATCAAATTCCACCGAACCACTTTCTCTGCAAGGTTGCAGACAGCAGCGCTCAGGCTGACACGGCCATGTGCGGTTGAAAATGCTATGCTGGTTGAGTTCCTGTGGTTTAAAGAAATGTACAAAATTAGATTCAGACCAAGGTGCCAGGTTTAACACACTCTTTCCGTTCCAGAAAGGACTGGGGAGACTTTTTGTCACCTCCAACCATAAAGGACAGTAAAATCTGTGCTATGCAGACCATTAAGAAGCCTTTTTTTTTTTTTTTTTTTTTTGACACAGTGGACAGTGAGAGAGAGAGACAGAGAGAAAGGTCTTCCTTTGCCGTTGGTTCACCCTCCAGTCGTGGCCAGCACCCTGCGGCCGGCGCACCGCGCTGATCTGATGGCAGGAGCCAGGTACTTATCCTGGTCTCCCATGGGGTGCAGGGCCCAAGGACTTGGGCCATCCTCCGCTGCACTCCCTGGCCACAGCAGAGAGCTGGCCTGGAAGAGGGACAGAATCCGGTGCCCCGACCGGGACTAGAACCCGGTGTGCCGGCGCCGCAAGGCGGAGGATTAGCCTAGTGAGCCGTGGCACCGGCCAAGAACCCATTTTAAATGAACCCACCCACCCAAACCTGGTAAAACCAGCACCTTCTCTTTACCTTGAGGGCTGAAGAGGTCAGGGCCAACCTCCTGCTTACCTGGAGGGCTCTGGTAAGTGTGGCAGCTGTCCTGATTCTCAATACCAGGAGATGGCATTGATGTCGGTTATGAAGATGAGCGATCAGCTTGCGTCAAGGAGCAGATGGCTAAATGAGGTGCACAGGGATTGCCTTGAGATTCAGGCTTGAAGAAACAAGCGGGGAAATAGCCTCTGACATAAAAACCCCAAATATAGTCTCCTTAATGTGAGTTTTTAGAATCGGCATTTGTATTGTACAGTTAACTTGGAGTGATGAGAAATGGAAGGAAATTACTGAGTTAGTGAGCAGCGATTAACTCAGAAGTAAAATTATATCATCGAAATTGGAGGTTGTTTTACACAGCAGAGGGGAGGAGATTACTAAAACCTTGCCCAATCTGTCATATTCTAATTGGAATCTGTTCACGTAATATGCCCCCTGCTTCAGAGTGCATAGTTCACAATTTGGAATAGTATTATCAGCTAATACAGCAATTTTTCCTGGTTCTTCCTTTGAATTCCAGTAGGACAGTGTGTAGCACGTTCCCCGGGGAATTGTGTGCCACACAGAAGAGTGAGTTTGTCTGTTCATTAACCTGTGAACTGTCAGGTCCCTTTGGAGAGGGAAGGGAGCAAGTCACTGTAAGGTTAATGCTTGTTTGTTGGAGACGAAGCCTGCAGGGAGACAGGGAGGGTGACCAGGCCAAGATGCTCAGGACCTGCCTGGAAACTGTGCACTGTGTGCAGATGCCGGATGCCTGTGGCCAGGAGGGAGGCTGCAGGGCAGGCTGGGCCATCTCTGCGGAGTACCTCCTCTGGTCAGGAGAAGGCTTCCCCGCAGCCATGTGGGGGGCTGGCGTAAGTATATAGGGTTAACTTCCCTATTAAGTAAAAAAAAAAAAAAAAAAAAAAAAAACTGTGAATGGCTTTCAGTAGTTTATGTGGATTTTTCCTTTTAAACTGGAAAGGAATATTGATTTCATGCATTTGTCTCCAATGGATAAAATCTTTCATTGAATTAGAAATCATTTTATTTTGCCTGTATTTATGCACGTGTGCACAGGTGCCTTCCTAGCCATAAGGTGAAAGCAGTTGTTAGTTGTGTCTCGTGAACGTATTCATATAATTCTGCTGACATTCAAGGATTGAACTCGGTAGTATCTAGGTAGATTTTCTAGGTAAATCGGGTCTCCGTTCTATTTAATTCTCTGGGAAGTGACATCTCCCTAATTTTGCTGTAATCATGTAGGCTCAGTTGGAGCTAAGCAAAAGGAGCAGACACAGGGTCTGAAGTCACATTTGAAGTCTCCATTAGTCTACATCCTGGCATACTGTATGATTAAATATTGTACCTTTTTCTGTCATCCTTGGATTCATTGTGGTAGAAGCTCATTTCCAACAGACTTTCTTTTCTTTTCACCCTCAGGTATATTCGAATAGTTGGGACTCACAATACAGTGAACAAGATTTTTCACATTGTGGCTTTTGAATGCATGTTTACAAACAAAACCTTCACTCTGGAGAAGGGGCTGATAGGTGAGTATTACAATTATATTTTTGTGTATACACTTAGATATTTTGTCTTCAGATTCTATTACCCCTTTAATTGATCTTAATCAGCTCCCATTAAGGACTTCAATTGTCTGAATGATTTATTGACTGAGTTACAAAGGGGATGGATAGCATTTTTAGAAGCTGTTAAGATAATAATTCCAGTAAACTTAAAAGAATATAATTGATGTACTAGTAGTTATATTTTGATGATTCCTTGAGATTTGCTGTGTAGGGAATGCTTTCATCCCAAAGGCTGTTCTGTATTTAATGGTCGGTGAGATTGGGGAGGACGCCTGTATAACATTGATCAGACACTCACACTTTCCAAGCCTAGGCAGGTATTTTGGGCTTTGATTTCTTAGCTGTGGTGTTACTAGCTGTGGGAGTATCTTCTTTTCATGGACGTGTCAGTCCATATTTGCCCTGCTTAGCTAGGTTCTCTTCAAGGAAGTGCCTGCCCATAATTTAAATAAGACCAGAGTGACTGGTTGTCATTGCCAGAGACTAGTTACTGGGTGAGAAATACTGCCTGATCTCATCTTGGTTTAGTTGTTTGTATGGTTGGTTTCTGCTGGGTTTTGGTTTTGCTTTTGGTTCAGACTGGGTATTGTGTACAGTCCATCCTAGGTCTTGCCATTCAAGATACCATGGATGGCTTTTCCCCTCCAGACTTGCTGCCTTTCCCGTGCACACTGGTTTATTTCTTACCTCCTGGAAAGATCATAGTTAGACCAATTAGCTCCTCTAGTTTCTCCTTTTGCTGTAGCTTCCTATGAAAAATGACTCCATATGTTCAGGTGCAGGTGGAAGCATGAAATGCCCCTGCTTTGCAGCACCTAAAATAGAACTCTGTGTTTACAAAGGGACTCGTTTCTGCTGTTCGTCTCAAGTCCTGTTCATGTTGACCTGTGTCCTAAAAGCATGGTAATGACTAAAATAGGAAATATGAGTGTAACTTGCAAATGTTCACTAGTTCTATGAGTGGCCATAGCGTAAATTTTCCTAGCACCTGCTATGTCCTAAACATAATCTTCTAGTTATAGAAATTCTGGAGAGTAATAATTATAAAGTAGCAGGAGTTGGAATTTCTTCAATGTATAGAGAGTTTTGGGAATTCAGTTAAAATAATTTTGTTTTTAACTGTTATGAATATCATTTTTAATGTTAAATGTAGATGTTAATAGTTTTTGTGACTTTCAAATAATTTAAAAGTTAACAAATTTGAAGCATTGCCTGTTTCTGTCTTCTTTTAATTCTGTAGGCTGCATAGAATTGTGGTGACGGGGGCTGGGGGGAGGACACTCTGTACCTGCTGCCTACCACAAGCCTCACAGTGTGTGTGACTGAAGTTAGGATCCCTCCTAGCCACAGATGTGTAGCGTTTGGTGGCTCACTTCATCCCCGTGCACTGCAGATTTGAACATGCCTCATAGAAGGCGCCATCTGCTGAACTCGCGCCCTCTTCCTTATCGGAGGAAGAACGGGTTTGTGGACCCTGTAATTATCAAAGAAACAGTCCTCTCTGGTGTGAGAGGCCATTATCAGATTGCAGCTTAGGATCAGTTGTAATGAGGGATGCTGTTATTGGCCTGCATGTTTTGTCCAAACTGAAGTAGTCAGCATTATCGGAAGCCATGGTAGTCTCAGGCATGTCAGGGAACGGAAGGAGATTGCAGAGATGGGGAGGTCGTTCTGGTTGTCTGGTCAGCCGCTCTTCTTCAGGCCCTTTTCTCTGATACTCACAAGTTTGACTTCAGAGAGCACTGCTGTCACCTGCCTGTCATTGTCCCTCAGCATTGTGGGAGCAGTGGTGCAAGTGGGCAGATGTGTGTCTGCCTGTGGTGGGATCCCTTCCAGCCTCCCTCCAGACCGTCTTCACAGTTCAGAGCTGCCCCAGGCAGGGAGGTGGTCTGCGTCCCAAGGGCCTTCAGGGGGGTTTCCTGTCTTCTGTTTGGCTTACAGAGGCATTTGAGATGGCAACATCCACCTTTCCATCTTGATTATCTCAGGTGTGTTTAGCTGGCTGCCCTCCTAGGGACCTCCCAGAGGGGAGTGACCCTCTAGTGGGGACACAGAATCTCCTAAGTTTATTTCAAAATTGTAGGCGCTTAATTCTTGCTCCTTCCTGGATGCAGTGAAAATATATATTCCTCTCCTGAGAACAACAGATGAAAACTCCAGATTTTTGTGAGAGAAAAATGAGAGAGTAAGATAATATCACCATGAATAGTAGAGTATTGAAACCTACTTTTGTATTTCTAGGTTCAGAACTTCTTTTTTTCACAATTCTTATTCCTTTCACAGTTCAGGTCACTCTGGTTATTATTCTATAGGCCTTAAAATGATTTTTGAAACATTTATATTTTTTGAAAATCAGAATTTAATGTTATTACTTAAAATCTATAATAATGCCAGGAAAATAACATAAATAACCTATATAATATTTGAGTGTTATTTTCCCACCAGAGGACTTCTTTCTTCTTAAAAAATAAAACTATTGCAGAGGCAGCATGAGACAGAGATGGGAGTGGGGGGAAGGGCAGGAAGAACTCTCCTGTCCCCAGATGTCTGCATTGGCCAGGGCTGGGCCAGCCTGACTCTGGGAGCCAAGAACTTATTGTAGGTTTCCCATGGGAGTGGCAGGAACCCAGTTACTTAAGCCATCGCTGTACCTCCCAAGCTCAGCATAAGCAGGAAGCTGGAGTTAGGAGCCAGGGCTACATATGGAACCTTGGTACTCCAATGTGGGATGCAGGCTTCTTAACCTCGAAGCCAAATATCCACTGCTCTTCTCCATTTTTGACGAGAGCACGTCATTCCTCATGATGCTTCACTTGCACAGATTCATGGCAAGACTTTCAAGTTCTCTAGATTTGAACTTCTCTGAGAGTGGGCCCCAGCTCTACCACACTGCCCAGAGCTGGGCACCTCTCCCACCTTTTCTGCCATATCCACAGCTGGTTGCTTCTGGACTTGCTAGGATGTACTCTGTGCTGGGAGAGCTGGCCTGTCATGACTGTCTCCTCTGTCAGGAGGCATTTATAGGAAACTTTAACCTGACTTACAAGTGAGGTGTGGAAAGGGTGGTTAGAACAGATGTGACTGCTATTTTATAAGCAGTCAACCTCCCAAAGAATTGTGTGTGTTTGCCTTGGCACTTCACTTTATGACCTGTGCACAGCATTTGCCAAGTTCTTCTGCTTTTTCATAATAATTGCCAAATCTTCCTTTTCATTTAATCTTGTGTTTAAATCTACTTCTTTGAATGCCCTACTAGTTATTCATGTAGAGAAAAGGGTACCCATCCTCCAACTTAAAGAATTATCAACTCACAGACAGCCTAGTTTTATCTATATGTGACCTACTTCCTCCCCATTAGAGTGTTTTGATGCCAATCACAGAAATTTTATCATCCACATATTATGTTTCTGTACAAGTAAGACCTCTTTTCTGTAGCTGTAACCACAATATAAGGGGTCTTATAAAGGGTCATAGGAAATGCATATTATAAAAGAAAAAAGCTATGCATTTGTTTCAAAAAATTTTTGTACCAAAGTAATTTAAAAATTTTTTTTAAAGAATACAAATTTCAAAAGTACAACTTTAGGAATATAGTTATTCTTCCCACCATACCCACTCTTCAACTCACACTTCCAGCTCCTCCTCCCTCTCCCCTTACCAGTGCCATTCTCCATTAAGATTCATTTTCAATTAACTTTGTACACAGAAGACCAACTCTATACTAAGTAAAGATTTCAACAATTTGTGCGTGCACACACAAACTGAGAACTAGTTTTACAGTTAATTCTCATAGTATAACTCATTGAGGACAGAGGTCCTGCATGGGGAGTTAGTGCACAGTGACTCCTGTTGTTAATTTAACAATGAACACTCTTATGTATGATGTCAGTGACTACCTGAGGCTCTTGACATGAGCTACCTAGGCTATGGAAGCCTTTTGAATCCATAAACTCCATCAGTATTTAGACAAGACCATAAGCAAAGTGGAAGTTCTCTCCTCCTCTCAGAGAAAAGCACATCCTTCTTTGATGGCCACTTCTTTCAGCTGGGGTCTCACAGAGATCCTTCATGTAGAACATTTTTTGTCACAGTGTCTTGACTTTCCATGCCTGAAATGTTCTCACAGGCTTTTCAGCCAGACCAGGAAGCCTTAAGGGCTGATTCTGAGGTCAGAGTGGTTCTCAAAGTGATTCTATAAGTCTGTTGTGTAGACTGCTTCCCATATTAGAAAATTCTCTCCTTTTTAATTCTATTATTATTACTAGGCACTTGATCCTATTTATATGATCACTTTAACACTCAATCCTTTTTATTTGATCACTTTAACACTTAATCTTATCTATATATTCACATTAACACTTAATATGTTCACTTTAACAATTAAGATGGCATTTTTACCAGTAAGCTTAATGGGATTTGGAGCCCCATGACAAGTTTTTAAACTGTACCCTTAGGAAGTGGGATACACAGCAGACTCACAGAATGACAAATGCCCTAAACAGCACTCTGGCCTCAGAGTCAGCCCTTAAGGCATTCGGATCTGGCTAAAAAGCCCATAATAGTTTCTCAGGCATGGAAAGCTAAGACACTGTGGCAAAAAAATGACCTATATGAAAGATCTCTGTGAGTAAGATCCCAGTGGAAAGAAGGGGCCATCAAAAGAGGAGATACCTTTCTCTGAAGGGAGGAGAGAACTTCCACTTTGATTATGGCCCTGTCTAAATAATGTCAGAGTTTGTAGACTCAAAAGGCTTCCATAGCCTTGGCAGCTCATGACAAGCTCACTGACGTCATAAATAAGAGTGTCAATTGTTAAATCAACAACAGGAGTCACTGTGCACTTATTCCCCATGTAGGATCTCTGTCCTTAATGTGTTGTACTATGAGAATTAATGATAAAACTAGTCTTATAACAGTATTTTATTCTTTGTGTGTCTGTATGGGTGCAATACATTGAAATC